CACATCCATCATGGCAGTGTCAAACACACTGCCAGTAATCCAGGCATCAGTCAGTTCCATACTTGCGACCGCACGAGCCGCACATTCATGTGGAGTTCCGTGCGGAGTTCCGTGCGGAGTTCCGTGCGGGGGGCGCCTGTGCGGAATCGTGCAGGTTTTTTATTTTTATTTTTATTACTTCATCTTTTTTTAGGAGGGGGAACGGGGGGCCATATGACAGGAAGATGGGGATATGGCGAGGAGAGGAGGAGGAGGATGTGGACGAGGAGGACGACGAGGATAGCGACAACGAGGAGGAGGAGTTGAGATGGGGGAGGAGAAGAGATGGGCGGAAGGACAAGAGGAAGGGCAGGAGGAGGAGTGGGAGGAGGAGTAGACATGGACGGCGAGGAAGGGGAGGACACGAGGAAGGGAAAGAGACGAGGAGGCATGACAGATGAGGAAGTACGAGGAGGAGGAGGAGACAAGGAGAATGAGGAAGGGCAGGAGGAAGATGAACAGCAGGAGGAGGAGGAGGAGGAGGAGGAGGAGGAGGAGGAGGAGACGAAAAGGCCAAGGGAGGAGGAGACATGGAGGATGAGGAAGGGGAGGAGGAGCAAGGTGAGGCAGTACTCCTGTAATTTTTTTTTCATCTCGCTTATAATTTTGGCGGGGGGCCTCAAACGCATTGTTTTGACCCCGGCCTTTTTTTTCCTGAGGGGGGTGACGGGTAGTTCCCCGCACACGTCGTGCGCCGCACGTAGGGAACCGCCCACACGACGTGCTCTTGCAAGTATGGTCAGTTCCAGTGGAACACAATTTATTATTAGTAGTAGTAGTATTTTTTTCAAAACAAAATCCTTTTTTTTTTTTTTTTGGCAACATACAAAACCTTCCTGCGGCAACCCTAGAAGCTCCCTTAGCTTGCTTTCTGAAAAAAAGAAAACGAAAATTTTTTTTTGAAAGAATTCCTTGCTTCGAATTTTGAAAGTCTTTCAATTCGCCGGCGATTTAGGAAGTTACAATGAAATCACTGACACTCAACAGCACCAAGGTTTTTGAAACACGATCAGAATAATAAAAAAAATAAAAAAAAACGTTAGTTACGTTACCCCATCCACACAGATTTTTCTCCACCTCAAAGGCCATTCCTTGCAGATGTACTACGGGTCACGTCATGTTTGACTTTTGTAGTTTGACTTTTCTAGTTTGACTTTCCTCTAACTAGGAAACAGCACTTTCCTAATGAGCAAATTTCAGAAGACGGGACATGGTTCCGCTCACCTCATGTTTGAGTGTCCTATTTCACTTCCCTATAGAAAGGAAACAGCACCAGGAAAGTCAGTATTCCCTTATGTATTCTACCTACCTCATTTTTCCCATCCCTCCGATGCGTCTTTCTGTCTGCATGGCTGGCTCTCTGTCTATCTGTCTCCGTGCCTGCCTGTCTATCTGTCTGCCTGTCTCTGTCTGTCTGTGCCGTGTCTGGGTGCTTGCCTGTCTATTGTTTGTCTGCTTATCTGTCTGTTTGTCTCGGTGCCTGCCTGCCTTCCTTCCTGCCTGCCTTCCTGCCTGCCTGCCTGCCTGCCTTCCTGCCTGCCTGCCTGCCTGTCTGCCTGTCTGCCTGTCTGCCTGCGTTCCTGTCTGCCTATTCTTTGTCCATCCATCTGTTTATTGTTCATCTGTCTCTGTCTCTCTGTCTGGATTCTTGCCCGTATGTCAGTCTATTATTTGTCCGTCTGTCTGTCTGTCTGTGTGTGTGCCTGCCTGCCTGTCTGTCTGCTTAGTCTTTGTCCAATCATTTCTTTCCTGTTTGTCCATCCATTTCTTTCCTGTTTGTCTGTCTCTGTCTGTATCTGTCTGTCTGCCTGTCTGCCTGTCTGCCTGTCTGCCTGTCTGCCTGTCTGCCTGTCTGCTTGTCTGCCTTCCTCTGTCTGCCTGGCTTCCTGTCTTCCTGTCTGTCTGTCTGTCTGTCTGTCTGGATGCTTGCCTGTCTGTCTGTCTATTGTTGTCTGTCTGCCTGTCTGTCTGCCAGCCCATTGTCTATCTGTCAGTTAGTCGGTCTGTCGGTCTGTCTGTCTGTCTGTCCGGCTGACCGTCTATCTCTTTTGTCACTCTGTCTGCATGCTTGTCTATCTGTGTGTCTGTCTGTCCACCTGTTTGCCTGCCTGTCTTCCGGCCTGCTTGTGGGTCCGGCTCGACTATTCTTCGTTCCTCCGTCTGTTTATTGTTCATCTGTCTGGCTGTTTGGGTGCTTGCCTTTCTGTTTGTCTCTTGTTTGTCTCTTGTTTGTCTGCTCATTCTGTCTTGGCTTGTCTGTCTGTCCGTCTGTCCGTCACTTACATTCCGTCACTCTCATAAATTTTCCTCACAGTATTTTCTTCCCACAGTACTGTTCGCTTGATGAAAGAAGAAACGAAGTACCAATTTTATTTGCAACACGGCTATATATCATGATATCTGCGATGCCATTCCGATCTCCACATCCTGTGCTGGCTTGACCGCGCAGTTCTCAGGCTTCACCACTCATCTCGGACTTTTTCGGCTCGACTCTGGACGCGATTGCGTCCAGGTACACCCAGTTCCGGTTGCAATTGAAGTCAGATACACCCAGAAAAAATTCATATCCTACTGCAGTACGAGTACGCTACGAGAGTATGATGAGAAGATGCACAGCTAAGGAGATGGTAGCTCTGCACCGGATATCTACAGGAAAACTGAGGAAAACCCTTTCTTTTTTTTCTTTTTTGGGGACAATTTCTCCCTTCATGTGTGTCATTGTTGCGCAGGGGCCATACTAATAGTAATTACCCTTCTCTGTATCATTCCAGTTTAACAATTTTAACGGATGTTCCGGAGGACATTTTTAGTATTTTTTACAGGAAAGAATTAAAAAAAAACCCTTCAATAGCAAACCACATCCATTTCCGCCCAGAGAAATAAGGTTGCGAAACTTTGTGAGGTAGTCGATGCATCGTCCTCCTCCTCATCGTTATCAGCAGCTGCAACTAATTGCCCGCCACGTGTCACACCTAAAAGAGGGGTACAGAGAGGGGAAAGGAACAGGAGGACTATCCCCCACAATCATCATCACCATCACCATCACCATTATCATCGATGATGATGATCCAAACGATAAGCTATCAACAAAAAATCGGAAAAAAAAAGAAAAAAGATCGACAACGACGGCACAAACGATGATCCTGATGATCACAATGATGCCAATTACACTGTCATCATCATCATCATCATCATCATCATCATCATCATCATCATCATCATCATCGATATTGTGGCTATTACTTTCCTCACAATCATTGCCAGCTGTGCTGACAATTACACTATCATCATCATCATCATCATCATCATCATCACCATCATTACCACCAACATCAGATTCAGATTCATCATCATCATCAGTAACATTAATCTTATCTCAATGTGTCACCATCATCGCCGGCACTTTAACTGCGCTGCGACGAGGCAGTCGTTTTGTCGTTCTATGATGATTGTCGTTCATTTTGTTGTTGTTTTGCGTATTCCAGCTCTAGTTGCTCCAGCATTGGGCGCACGCTTCTCAGCACGGAAGGACTCATTCTATCGAAGAAAAGCACACCATCAAGGTGATCGTACTCGTGTTGAAAGATGCGCGAAGGCCACCCCTTCAGCTCCAAATGAAAAGGGTTTCCTTTGACGTCCAAAGCGTCGATCTTGACGCCTACCGGTCTTTCTACGTCGGCATAAATCTTGGGAAATGACAAACAACCCTCCTCAAAAACATCCTTTTTCTTGCTCTTCTTAACGATCTTCGGATTCACCAAAACGTACTCCTGTCCCTTCCCTCTCTCTCCCACTGGGTTAAACACCATGAACTGAAGATTGACGCCGACTTGAGGAGCAGACAGACCTACTCCATCATACTTATACATAGCCTCAAACATGGCATGAGCAAACTCCTCCAGCCTGGCATCAAAAACAGATACTGCTGCATTTCTAGCCCTTAAACGGGGATCAGGATAAATAACAACTTCAAGGGGTGCCTGATACTCGAGCAGGGATGTGGCCCCAACCGCCGGACTGGCAGCAGCCGCTCTCCGCTCATTCATCGTGCGACCCGGAGTGCTATCGACCCTCGGATCGCTCGTCGCGACAACGGCAACCTGTGCCGTTCCCGCAAATCGGGAATGACATTGGGATACAGACAGCAATGGCTTAGTGGCACGACGCCATCGCGACGACGCCCCGACTTCGCCACACCGAGCGATGCCTCTAGAGAGGAGCCCTGAGGAGTTACAAGCCTTCTCCGGCCAACCAACACGCGCCGACCACTCGGCCGCATGCACCCAACAACTACTACTGCTACTTTCTCTCAGATTTTCTGCTCTCATCCCTCCTCCTCCTTGATTGCAACCATGTTGATTGCCATGCTTCAGCACTGCTGAGTGATAGAAAGACGGGGTAGCGGGAGTGCGAGGAGTGCTTCGTAATTCCCCTGCGCAGAGGGAATGACCAGAGTTTGCAGGGGGTGCTCGTGCCGAACCTATCCCCAAAGCTGATGAATGGGCAGAGCTCGCCGGGGTTGCTAGTGCTGAGCCTATTCCTAAAGCTGATGAACATGCCCTTGCCATGCTAAGAAGGCCTACTGTGCCAGGCTTGGGARCTACCCCACCTCGCAAGAACCTAAGTGAAGGGAGCTGTGGCTTCGGCATCACTTCCACAGCTCCCTGCATCTCTCTCTCTCTCTCTCTCTCTCTCTCTCTCTCTCTCTCTCTCTCTCTCTCTCTCTCTCTCTCTCTCTCACACA